CGCGATTTCTGATAAGTTATTTTTCTGCGAAAACTTCGTTGACCTTTGGAGACATCATTAATATAAATAATTTTTATGGCCATTGAATAAGAAATGTTTCTTTCACAAGAAATGTATAAAATTAGTGCTGTATTAGACTTACGGTACCTAATTTACATACTGTACAGACGATAGTAAACTCAACTTACTCGCCTAAACTCTCTGTAGCGTGGTGCTGGACAACAGAAAGTATACATATAATTATAATAAAGTTACAATAAATTAAGTTAATATATAATTATATGTACAGTACCTAATTTATTTATAATTTATATATAATACTGTACAGACGATAGCAAACTCAATTTACCCGCCTAAACTCTCCGTAGCGTGGCGCTGGACAGTGGAAAGTAGTTCAGCTGCCCGATGACATTTTACCGAATTATAGGAGTTTTTTTACCATGTTTGTACGGATACCGTCGCAATTTTTTTGCCATCATATAAAAATCCAAACTATAGGAACCCGTGTTATGGGGGGGTCGACTGTATTTTAATTTAAAGATATAGAAAGATTAATCATTGATGATGAATAAATGAATACTTTTAATTATAATTTCATTAATAAAGGAAAATTTCAGTTCAAAAAAAGTAAAAAATCTTTGATGTTAACAAACCTTCAATTCAGCTTTATTTTGCAATGATAACATGTCTTCTACAGCAGTTTCTTTCCAATTTTTTTCATGCTATTATCAAAGAAGTATTCATTTTTTATAATAGAACATATTTTTAAATAAATATTTAATACAAATAATTTTAATAAACATTTTAAATGAAATGAGCATTTATTTAACTTAAAATATATGCTCTCCACCTAAAATTAGTAGTGGATTACTCCTGTACATCAAACTTTTCTTTTAACAATAGAGTCGTACTGATCATCTATCTAACACCTTTCAGGGGAAAATTTTTGAATTGAAATAACATGACTTCCGGTTTGTATCAGAAGTTCATATATAGTTAATTAGGGCCTCCTGCAACAAATAAATTTGTTATCGGTCTCAGCTTTCATCTATCTAACACTGTACTCATGATTAAGGAAGGAAGTACAGACACACAGTGGGAATTTACAGGTCTACAATTATTTTCAAATTGCACCCCAATAATTTTAAGAAACATTTATCAAAAAGTTAATAAGGCAACTGAAGAGAATCTAATAAGCTTGAAATGTGTCTTACATGTAAGTGGAAAACTCAAACTTGTTTACTTCTCAATAAAAGATTTAAAAATGACTTTATGTTCCTTAATTTTCATCTTAAAGTCAACGCAATATACAATAAGGTGCAAGGAAGACTGCCAGGTGATGTCAAGTTCAACAGTGCTTTGTCTTTGTTCTGGCTCTAATTTTATAATTAATTATTTCTACCATTTCTCTAAAACATTTGATTGTCTTATTTTTACTTGTTAACCTTTGGTGCATGTGAGTGTTATAAAATTTGTATTATTTTGTTGCTACTCAACCTTCTACTCATGCTCACGGCTTAGTGCGATAGCTAAACTTAATCTGCAGCACAATGTTGAGACGCAAACCTAGAGCTTCCCCAGAAAATGTCTCTGCAGCCTTTGAAGAAATATCGAAACTGGGATTTACAGAAGCCATCAACCAACTAAAAAGTATTTATCGGCCCATAGTGAATAAACACCCAGTCAACCAACAAGAAAGCTACACAATGGATCAACTAATACAAAGGATAACAAACATCCATTTATGTTGTTTATATAAATATAATGTAGTACAAGAAGAAATAGTTAAAATGCAAGATGATAAAACATATTATCAATCACAATTGAAATCATATGCAAATGCTGTTAAAGCTTCCAGAGTCAAAGTCCATGACCATCCTGATCAAGCACAAAAAAGGAAACATTACTGTTATCTCCAGGGATTAAAAACTCGCAAGTGGATAAAAATACAGTCAGAAGTCATTTAGAATCTGTACTAAAACCAGCTACCAAATGGCATCAGAAGTGACTCCTGTTTGGTGCAAAAAGATGGGAAAGTCAACCTCCAAATATCCAACACTGCCAGTGTCGATAAAATTTTTGAACTAATCAACAACAATAATGACTCTGAATTCAAATATTCAGCAAGAAAAAAAAACTAAAAGAAAGCCCTTAGTGCAAAAACACCATGTGTGCTCTAACCTAATAAAGAGGAGTTGCTTAACACTGTCACTGCACAGAATGATAACTTAAAAAAGTATTGGAAGAAAAAGATCAGATAATACAACCACTATTCTCCTTCAGATCCAAGGCAGACTCTGCTCAGGAGAAGACATGGGTTTTCTGACCACACCACAAGTTCATCAAAATTTACTAAAAAACAGATGGGTGTATATAGGATTTAGATCTCATCAAATCTGCAATTACTTAGGAATCAAACAGTGCTACAACTGCTGTAAATTTGGTCACATTGCTTCAAAATGTGTACTGGAACAACCAGCCTACTCACATTGTGATGCCAAGGGTCATAGTTATAGAAAATGTGTGGAAAAGACCAAGTCTTCTGTTATTAAGTGCATTAATTGCATCAGATGGTCTAAACGTCTAAAAATCAGTGCTCAAAATGTTTCCCACAAAGCCACAGACCCAGAATGTCCTGTATACTTAAAAGTTAAATCAAAACTGATTGAAAACACAGACTATGGAGAGGCTACATACCAAGAAACTTATTAAAATTGTTCAATTTAATGTCAATCACTCCAAGGCTGTCACAGGAAATCTGGCAAAATACTTAATAGATAATGACATAGATATTGCTCTATTACATATACAACACCAAAATCATTGGCTTTCCTAGGAGTTTCAAGATTATCTATGCAGATGTTCCCAATAGCTTGCATTTATTATATGCAACCCAAATATCACCATCTTGCAGCTAACCCAGTACTGCACTGTAATATCTATTACTTTGGATACTGTTCTGTTCATATCTTCAGTTTATTGCTATCCCAGCTTACCTCTGAATGAAAGAATGTTTTTTTAGAGGAAACCTATGAACTACAGTAGAGCGTCGTTTATCTGAATCAATTGGGGACTGGGGTTGTTCAGATAACTTATTTTTCGGATAACCGATTATATACGAAAAAATATATTAACCTATCCCATCCTGAAATTTTTCTCTGTTGTGTGTTGCTTTGCGTGTCAATGTTAAGCCTAACGAAGACTATTGTATCATTAAAAATTATTTTTTTATTTTGTACAAACAAAATAAATATATTGAAAAATATAAAAACAATAAAAAATTACACTTCAGAAGTTAATTTAGTATCAAAAACGTAAAATATTTGAGTAGCCCAAGACATAGCAAAAGATTGCAATGCCACAGCACTGGCGAAAATTTAAATTTGCCAACTGGAATTCTTTCGGATAACCGACTTTCGGATAAACGATGCTCTACTGTAATTAATAAGAATAGGCTGATTGGTGTTTACTCCAATGCAAGAAACCCACTTTGGCATGATATCATAGAAATAACAGAGGCATCCGTTTTAGAAAATCAAAATTTTACTTTCTATGAATGTGTCTCTTTAATCCCAATGACTATTAAGTTCAGATTAAAGAGACACATTCATAGAACATAATAACAGCTACCATAAGTGATATTTGTAACAAAATTTTACTGTTATAAATGAACCAAGTAATCCAACTTATGACTATTCTGGGCAAAAGTTGGATTGATTTAATCATCACTGACTCCTCACTGGCTAAAAAGATCACAGGAAGATCTCTGGTAGAACAGGAGTTGCTATCTGATTACAGAGCCATTTCCTTTTGCATTGAACAGTATCAACAGTATCACAGAGTTTGCCTTACAAACTCCTTCAACCTAAAAAAGGCAAGGCAAACTGGCAAATGTTTTATGGTCTAATTCAAGAAGAACTGAATAATTTAAGTATACTAACCTATCTTAACACTAATCAGGAAATTGATGAATGTGTGTCAAAGCTAAATAACATTCTGATAAGTGCAGCAGAAAAAGCCATTCCCAGAAAGTCCCTCTAAAGAAGGCAGTGCCCTGGTGGACCCCAGCATTAGTATCTCTGAGAAAACAGGTCAATTCTCTTAGGTGCAAATTTCAAAGGCAGAAAAATCCTCAATTGAGAGTCAATCAAGAAACTGACTACAATCATACATAAAAACTGGCATACAAACTGGAACTGTATACTAAACAAACAACTTGACACCTAAATGCGAATTCCGGCATATAATGACAAGGGCCTCTGAAAGGGCCGAAAACGTTTAAACATTAAAGTTTTTTGTTCATTATATGCTGGAATTCACATTTAGGTGTCAAATTGTTTGTTTAGAAACTGACTACAAATCAGCAAAAAAGAAATATATTAGAGAAATGGAGTCAGCAAAGCTGAAATCCTGGCAAAACTATTGCAATACAAAGGGAAATCTTGATCCATGGAAAAACATTTACAGGATCTTAAACAGGAACAACATGGATCTTACACTTCTGACACCCATAGATAACACCCATCAAAGTTATGATATCAAATCTGTTTTATCAGCACTGGCTGCACAACTTTTTCCTTGAGATAATACTACAGATGAATTCCCTGAACATAAATCTATCAGAAAAAACTGTCAAAGTGTGTGTTCAGCTCCAACTGAAATAGATTATTATTTCTCCACTTTCAAACTCAAGAAAGCTATTTTCTCCTTGTGACCTCATGAGGCTCCAGGAGGTGATGAGATCTATGCCGAAATGCTACAGGTGTGTTTCAACCTCCTGGAGCCACTTCTACTCACAAGGGAACTGTCGGAGTGTCTTCTAATAAATTTTAATAAAATTTAGTTAATAACTACATTAAAAGTATACAAACTCTATTTTAAATTTGTAGCATTCACTAAAAGTGTTGATCAGAGTTATTAGCAATCAAATGTTGCACT